TAGCGTGATACCTGTATTAGAATTATCAGAATATTAAATTTGAAAATTCACTCATGCCTATGAACTTAACAAATAGACTCATGTGTGCTGTTAAACAATGATTCAAAATACATACAGATGTATATCAAAGAGTTCATTTGTGCATGGGCAAGGAATGGCTGACTTTCTTACCTTGACCTTGTATGAACTATGAACCCGGAAGTTGAAACACATGCTCTCTTTGTATTTGTAAAGTAATAAATCCTGAAGCCATACATTGACTTCACAAACCTGTTGTTGAAGTTTTGCGTGTCACCAAAATTTTCATCTCCAAACCAAAAGCCAAACCCTAAAGGTAAAGTAACTAATAGTAAATAACTATTTGTTTGTACTAGGTTTATGAAAAACCGCGGTTGAGTACTAACTCACTTGAACTTGAAGAGCGTGATTAACACTGCGTTGAAGTGAAAATGTAAGTCTTTGCGGTGGTCCAATAGTCAAAGCCAGTTGTGGGATCAAAAAGTTTCAGAACGGGTTCTGTTTCAAACTCACTACAAACAACAGGTTACGTTATTTTTTTTCTTTAAACAGCGTATTTAGCAATTCACCGGGGTTCGCGACAACGCAAAATCGTAGAACTATATTTTATCAGAAATTTGAAAATTTATCCGAGAACCTAACAAAACAGACCCAAATATGCTGTTAAACATTGATTCAAAATGCATATGTTTATCAAAGAATCTGGTTGTTCATGGGCGATAATGGCTTTACAAATCGTAATAACATAATGAAGCTACAGTTGTATATGAGCAAAAATGGCTGACTTAGTTACTTTACCCTAGTATGAACCCAAGAGTTACACTTCAGATATACTCAGGCTCTTTATACTGTATTTATAAAGTAATAAATCCTGAAACAACTCATTGACTTTACAAACATGTTACTGTAGTATTGCGTGTCACCAAAATTTGTATCTCCAAAGCAAAACGCCAATCCCTAACAGTAAATTAACTAATAGTAAATAAACTATTTGTTTGTGGTAGGCTTATAAACCCGCGGTTTTTAAAGGTTGTAAAAAATTTACGATCGGATATCATAAAATCTGGGCCACGTGCCCTTGATAGTTTAACCAGTGTGAGGCTTTAATATAATGTTTAAAGTCTAATTCGGAACCGGAGAGGAACTACCTCCAAGAGATGAATTTTGTCGTTCTTGGGGAGGAACTTGTCTTTGTATTTGCTATAGTGTTACTAATATTCTTCAGGTCTTTATTATCACTATAATACTTATTCCTTTATACGTTAAAAGTTAAGTTTTCAAAACAGGTGTGCGACTTGCACACAACGCCAGCTAATGTTCCATAAAAGATTGAATAAATAAAGTATATTTTGTGCATAGTAAAGAAGTAATAAAGCGTTTAAAAATGAGCGTATGTCAATAAAAATGTCAGTATATGACGCATTAAAGTTCGCCTAAAACAATATCGTAATGCGTTTTCGTTCGTGTTCCTGTGACCACTTAGCCACTGCCTGCGTCATTGTGTGATACTTTGCCAACAATGCTAGGAAACATTTAAAAGTCGTCTTCGACTGAGAGGACTCGTAGAGAACTTAGATGAACTTTGCCTTATCGCTTGCAGATGTGATTTTTAACCGTGGCCAAAGTTACTGACTTTCAATTTTTTTTACAATATATTTCAAAGTGTAGAATGGGCAATTTGCGATGTTTAAATTCCAAAGAATGTACTATATTCTAATCGAATATTTCTTTTCGATGCGAACATGTTTCATCATTTCATGTTTTTACTGGTTGACGAAATAATAAATCTCTCTCTTTCTCTCTCTCGATGCGAACCTGATTCAGGGCTCAAGCACTCAATGAAAAGCCCTTATATCCACTGTTAACTTACAAATCTTAGATTTTTGAAAAGTTTCATTGCTAAAACACGAGTGCGTGCTGGGTATCATCCAAGACAGAAAATTAATTTTTATTCCAGCTTGTTTTTCTTATTTAAAAATCTTATTTAAAATCTCGTGGTCATTTAAAGCCGCCATGCTCCACTCCCTTCAGTACCGTATCTATATCCCCATCTCTGACGAGAAGCATTGAAATGTATTTCACTTTTAGGTGTATACAACGAGATACGTATTGCACATTTTTCGTTACTTCCGTAGTATGTATACCAGGTTAGGGTTAGGCCATAATTTTATTACAATTTTCCTTATTTTAGTTCTATTACGAGTTCGGGGAATGTCTGCGTTAGCCAAGTGAATATCTCCCCCGTCCATAGCTTCCAGTTCCGTTGCACAACTTGATGTAAAGTAGGCGAACCAAATTAGTTACCTCTATATTGGTACCCAAACTTCTGGAGCGCCAAATTGTCTGGTTGAAGCAATTATTTTATTTTTCGGGGTATGATGTTGATATTTACATAATTCTATAATTGAAGTGTTGTGCTGAAAATTTCAATGTTTTTAATTATACATATATATTCTTGTTGGTGAAATTTCTTTTTTCTCTCTAAAAAAGGCAAACAGATATTTGAACATTTTACCAACATATTCCCTCATCTATCTCTTTATAAAGGGTTTGAAGCAGGGGTGTGCAACAGGTGACCCGACAAGCTATTTAATGTGGCTCTCTTCAACACTCAAGGTTAGCTCCATATTGGCACACACACTTCTGGAGCGCCTATTTTTCTTCCTCGTCTATCGCGTCACCGATTGAGCTGGTGATGGGCTATCGAGCTTCGTTACAGGCATGTTGCGGTGCTGATCTCATCCACACCCCTTATGAACACTTTACTTTCAAGAAACATATTTATTTTTAGAAAAAATAACACAAGCAGAAAGAATAGCGATATTTACCACAAATAAAGTTGGCAAAGTAGAACATTATACAGTTGAAATTAAGTTCAGTGCAATTTTATTTTCTCTAATAATTGAGATCCCACACAAGGGATTGTAAATTGGGTCCGGTTTGGTCTTGAATTGAACAGCAAAAGCAAACAATTTTATATTTTCATCAGTTTTATCGAGGGATATTCAAAAATCGTCAAAATGGGTCAACGCCATTTAGCTTGTTGAGTTATTAGGCGGCCATAGTGATAAACCAATTTACAAATTACAAACAATTTACAATTTACACCAATTGATTTATATTTAAAAAATTCTATTTAAAAAGATGAAGATATACGGAGAGAAAAAATTATGCTTCAACAATTCGTTACAAGTTACAGCCTTACAAAATAGAAAAAACATCGGCCATTATTTCAAGTGTTTAGTAAGGTTTTTGCAGCTTCGAAAAAGAAATTCTTCTATTAATAGTATGAAAATTGCGACAACTTCATCAGCACCAGGGCTACTTCCGAATCCGGATATTTTTTTTTCATATATTTTAAAAACGTAAAATGACAAAAATTCTATCTGATTAAATGACAATTACAGTTGATCCAAAAGATCGTTATATGAACACGTAAAATCAATAAAATAAAATTAAACACAAATCACAAACAAGGCGCGTCCAAGTCACTAAGTAACCGTCTGACCTCTGAAAGAAGAAACGCAGTGAGGAATAAATCAAATACATGTTCAATTTTCAAGCACGATGCCAGTTTGTCCATATTTTGCCATTGATGCAACATACTGCCTAAGTCAGTGGTTCCCAAACAGGGGCCTTTAGCTCACCTAAAGGGCCACAGAGCAGTCGGAGGTGTGCCACATACCAGGCGGAAAACTAATTTTATTTTTCACTTTACAAGATAACTCCCCTTTCTTTCAAGTTTCATTGCTTGATAAGATTATTTCACAAAAGGTCTCACTTTGTTGAGCACTAATTGTTCGAATATAATAGAATTTGGAATCTACCAATCAAAATACCAGTAAAATACCATAAATGATAAAAAGGGGGGCGGCATGAATGCTCAAAGCTTCCAGAAGGGGGGCGAGCCATAAAAGTTTGGGACCACTGGTCTGGGTGAACACACTATGAAAGAGAAAACAATACAGTATCCTTTTTCAATCTTACTGATACTCAAGCCTTCGCGTTCCATAAACGCAAGCAACGAATCAAAATACGAATCATCTTTCAGTTTGGTCAAACGGACTCAAGATATTATGGACGAACCTTTCTAATACTTTTCGGCAATGATGACACTGTACAACACAAATTATATAAAATAATATTCAAGATGCGCGGGGAAAAATGAACTGTACAATAGATAAATTTTCTGATAGTCTAACATATAGTAATAAATTTCTGAAAGCAATTTTCTACTTTATTTCATAGAAAAATCAAAAAAAATTACGATAAAATGGTGTAAAAATATCTCTAAAAAGGCGATAAAAATAATAAAAGATTAGTTACAACTTGAAAAATCGGGATAGGGTAAATGACCGTGTCGACTCGCTTAATTGGAAGAATTAAATACTATTGTGCCAGAAGAAATTTGTGAACGGATAGCAGTTTCGTAATAAAATTTAACCGAAACGTAATGAAAAATTAAAGCTAGATTACACAATTTTATGTTGTTGAACTTGTAAAGTAAAACTAATCATTTTTCAAATATCAATAAAAGTCTCTTAGCTGGAGTATGAATTTTATGTTTTAATTGTATATGTTCCTTTTATTTGCGAATGCGCACGTCACAATGGTCAATTACGTCATAATAATATAATAGTACGTCACAAATCTCGGTCACAGGGTGTAAAAATAATAAGTGCAAAGATGCTGAAAGTAGAAAAAATAATAAAATGAAAAATAGATAAATAAGAACCTTATTAACTACAGTGAACTGTGAAATAATAGTACACACACGCATGAAATTTAGTTGATAAATTTACGTGAGATATTGTACATGTCGCATAGTTTCTTTTAAATTAACTGAGCGTGATATGTAACTCAAACAGAAATGATCATGCCGCACATACAAGCCAATTCTAAATTTACGAAATATGTATATAGAACATTTCGTACGTTTCTTAGCTTTATCAGTCTTCTACTTGTGATATTTAACTAAGTTTTCAAGACAAGAGGGCGAATAATTCGTTCGAAAAAATAACAAGGGAATAAGCGCTTTTTGAACCGGTTTTCTGATCAAAGTTTCAAGCGGTAATCACCAAAGTATTTCAATAATCAAAAATATACGTTTTCCTGATTTCAACAAAACAAGTTTTTTGAGTTTCGTACATTTGGTTTGAAGACCTCGATAAGGTGGTTTAAGATGACGTGGGATATTAAACTACGTAGATGTATACTACAACTACTCTTCTGTTATATTAACTAACTTCCATAGTTATTCAGTTGTGAAACGAACAAATATATATTTGCAAAGTTATATTGTTCATGTTTGAAACATTGATAAATGGAATCATTCGGGCTTGGATACATATGGCCCACAGTTAACGAAGATGTCATGATTCGGAGTAAGGGATACTATAAAAAAGCGCAGAACATTAACTAAATTTTATCAGTAATATAATAAAGGCAGACAACTTTGATTTACCTCTGTGCTAAACAAAACACCGACACGTTTGGGCTTGAAAACCTGAATTACTGGGGTGTGGTAGTGGAAATAAAACACTGTAACTAACTGTTACTCAATTCGATTTTTTTCCTTTAATATATATATTTAAAAGTGCAGAATGGGCAATTCGAAATTTTTAAATTCTGAAACATATAACTATATTATAATAGATCATCAAATTCCGTTCCTAAAATGGACTGTATAGTATCGGTGGCAGTTTTGGTTTCTTGCCATGTGTGAGAAGAAGCCCGCGAGGAGGTTTTCAATTGAGGCGGCATTGACAAGTGGTTCGCAGGGCGTCTTGGGGACGTGTTAGTAGATCCGGTGCCCGAGGACGCTGAACCAGGCCGTCTACGCCCTTTCTTCTTTTTGCCGCGCGGTGAATTCTCGTCATTAATGTCGCAAAAATCGGAGAAATCGTAAGCGCCAACACCCAAATCAAGCTCCGTTAGTCCAAAATTGTCTTGCTTTTCACCGAGTACTAAGTCTAAGGTGGTAGGGTCAGGAATCCACCCATCCGGAGGTTCAATTTTACTTCCGGTAACCGTAAGGTCAAGCGCTTCAACGCTTTTTGAAATTCCAATGTCAAAATCGTCGTTAGGATCTAGTTCAAATGTGGGTGTGTTGAGGGCGGTGCCACGCCTTCGACCCAAAGACTCGATCGAAGCCCTGGCGTGTTTATCTGTATTGAAAAAATCGTCAATCAGGTCATGTGGAACCGTGTCCATGTCGAGATTCAGAGGAGAGGAATTAGGAATATGCACGCTTCCACCACTTGATGTCAGCAACAAGCTCGGGTCAATCGGGAGCATGACATCAGTGAAAAGGCTTTCGTTACTGGTCATTGTGGCGGAAGTTGGCGCGTTTCCTCTGCTTTTGCGGGAAGCGGCGAGGTTTGGGGTGTTGGGTAGAGATAAGGATGAATTCACAGAGCTACCGCAATGGCTACCGTTGAGTCGCATCTCCTCTAGAATACTAGTAAAAGTGAATTCGCCTTTGAGATAACCAAGCTCCGGTGCTTGGTCTTCGAATAAATTGATTTTTTCGGCTTTAGGTTGTTGTAATTGTTGTTGTTGTTGCTGTTGTTGTTTACTTTTCTTGCTTTTTGCAATTTTCTGTGGCGTAGCCTGTTTTCTCTTTTGTCCCGCCGAACCTTTGTTTGAGGAACCGGCCGAAGAAGTCTTTTTGCTTCCAGAAAACCCTTCGCCGTCGAGAAATTCGTCTCCTGATATATCTCCGTCAGCGAAATCTTCTGGGCGAAGGAAATCGTAGTCGCAGCATTGTTCAATTGAAGGGCTGCAACCTCGACTGGAAGATTTATCTGAGAATAAAAATAGGACTTTAACAAACCCGTTCACTTCATGCCAAATGTAAGAGAGCACCAAGAAGGTTGCGTGTATTGATAAATTGGAATATTCTCTTTACTTGATAAAAAAAGTGAATCGAACTAAAGAGCGGTCATCGCTTTGAACAGTAACTTAGGAATACACCTGGCATAGAAGAAGAATATTTAATAAGTATGGCGTTATCCCAGCTAAAAGTTTGGCGCTTTAGAAGTGCGTGTACCAATGGAGGTAACTAATTTGTTCGCCTACTTTACATCAAGTTGTGTAAAGAGACTGAAACCTATTAGCAGAAATATATTCATTTGGCTAACACAGACAATCCCCGAGCTCATAATTTAACTAAAATAAGGAAAATAGGAATAAAATTATGGCCTAACCCTTATCTGGTACACACACTACGGGAGTACCAAAAGTTGTTTGAGCGTTATGTCATAAATTTGACTTACCCGACGCAGACGATGGCTGTCCTTTCACTTCTCCGGCAGAAGCCAGTCTTCTTTTTCTAAGCATTCCACTGGAAAACTTTTCTTCATACTTTGCATCGATTCGCCAGAATCCAGCCTTCCCCGCGGCATCATTTTTGCGTCCGACCCGTTCAAAACACTTGTGGCGTACCAAGTTGTCTCGGATGGAATTCTGTGTAAAAAATATTTATTAATAAGAGGATAAAGGATAGGTGAAACCAAAAGATATTAAAATGAATTTTTTATTCACATTAACATGTGCTTTTTCCACAGTATTGTGCTGATTTTTATGAAATAACATGCCAGTTTTTTTTTATATATAACGACAAGGTACACAGTGACATTACCATACGCATTTTATGGCAATATCGTGTCGAATACTCTATATGAAATGTTAATTCATTTTATATATCCTTCTACTTCGGAAAAGGTGGTCAAATTTAAACATAGGAATCGCATCGGAAGATTTAACATCGAAATATTTAACATAGGCGATGCGGAATATCTACCAACAGACTCAGTGCCAGTCTATACAGCCCCTAACGACTAGGTATGGCATACGACCTTGTGATGCTAACGGGTCGTTACGAATCTGTGAGTCTGTTATCTAGATTTCGGGCATCAAAATATTTTCAAATGTTATTTATTGCACCGGTTTCTGAATCAATCCGCCGGCTTTATTACGATGTAGGAATTTCGCGTTGGTGAAAATACAAAGCAAAATTACCAAAATTTCAAGGTATTTATTGAGTTATATTGTTTAAAAAACTTTCCATACGAAGGACTAGTATTAATTGATTTAGCTTGGGCCGTATATAGAACATTATGGTCATTTCTCTTCGCAAAGATAACTATTTGTTTAACAGTAAATCCCTATTATATTAACGAAATTTTGAACAACGCGCTTTTTGTTTGGTAATAAACGAAATTGGCGAAGGCTATTGTTGATTCAAACTTATTGTTCGGTAACACACAAAAGACGCGGCGTTTACCGCCTACGCGGAGGAGAAATACGCGTTTTAGAGGACAGACAAGATAAGCCTCGGAATGTCGAAACAAAATTATTCTAGTGTATTGGAATTTGCCCAGTATAAAATAAAATACATACAAATAAAGTAAAATACAAAAATTGCAAAGTGTTACTTGAAAACTAGGAATTAAAGATTTTCGGGTACCCCGGAAATATGCGCACCAAGATGTCGCACAACCTGAACCCTAACTTTGTACACAACCTGAGTTCAGGTTGTGCGACATCTTGGTGCGCATACTTCAGGAGGTCAGATTTTTGAATTGAATTACCAAGTAATACGAGCTTTTTCCTGTGAAATGAATTGAAAAATATCGAAAACTCAAAATTCCGGCCGATATCCGTTGTAACTGAAGCGGTCATAACACAATGTACATAGAACCATACAGGGCATAGTTATGACCTAGGGGTGCATGAGAAACTCGCGATAGCGCTATCACCTATATTCTAGTTCCATATCAAAAATGCATCATAATCACTTCGTAATCATAACGGGTCATTGGGTCGTGACTACACAAACTTTGCATGCACAGCAACTTTGACTTGGAAAAATCTTCTAGTCATGAAACAGTAGCAAGAGGTGCCGTTTGGTCTTATCTATAATATATCGTTCATAGTCTTGTCCCGTGCGTCATTACAAGGACGTAACATGCTGTGCTCACGTAATAAGGCGACAAAACAAACAATGCTCTGTGTTTTAAAAACCGATTACGATGACAAATGCAAACACTGATGAAGATTTCAGAATTTTACAATCGGAACTCTTAAACGATTTCAACATATTCCCCATTCCATTTTCTCTTAATTAGAGACTTCCGCAAAAGCAAGGTCGCAAAAGATAATTCGAAAGTGGCAGAAACTACCGTAATGATTTTATAAAAAAAGTTATTACTTTAAATTTTGTGAATGGTTTTATGAAAATATATTAAAACGAGCCAAGTAAGATGTTCGTTTTGTGGCAACGCCTATTGGCATTTTAGAGGTTGCTCATAAGTTTGCTCAAAGTTGAGTCTTTTTTTTTTATCTGGGTTAATGCACATCTAACTTGGCATTTCACTGAATGATGGTAATTTTTCTCAGAGATGAGTTTCCTTTACTTCTGAGCGGATGCACATATCTCTTGGCATTTTCACGGTTGCCCACGTCTTTTAATTCTTCTGTGCTCGTTTCTTTACTTTAAACATTTGAAAAAAATGATATTCATGGCCATTTACGATTGAGAATACGAGTAACAAAAAGACACGGTTGTAAACTGCTTGTCTGAGGCAGTCTGATTTTGGTCAGACGAACGGTTGGAAAATACACGTGTGTTAGTGTGCAGCGGGACTCTTGGAATGCATAGTATGATATTTTTATTCATGCTACAGCATTCTTGTAATATACAGGTAATATAAGGCATTGCGGAAGGATTGGGAGTTAGTCGAGAGTGACCTCTACTGATAGTTGAAGAAAATACATCTTGTGTTATACGTAAGCATGATGAAGCTCATTTAATTAACAAACTTAATTTTCAATTTGTTCTACATAATTTATAACGGTTAACTCTGGTACAAAAACATTTATTAGTTTGGCATTTCCCATACGGCAAATACAAGCGTCATAAACGCCTAACCATTAGTCACGGGGATTATCAATGTCTGGCAATGTCTAATACTATAAGACACAGACAATAATAAATTACAATTGTCACCACCTGGCGAGATGAGGCCCACAGGACGGTTAAGATTAAGTAGGAACGTTACGATGTGAATGAACGCAACATACGAATATATCTATCAGTACAGGTTGCGAGACACTAATTCACAATCTCTCATCGATGCCTTAACGCTAGTGGATGCATATGTGTATAATGCAAGGATGTTGTAGCAGGAATAAAAATACTATGCAATTCAAGAGTCCTGCTGCACACTAACACAAATGTATTTCTGTAACGTTTCATCTGACTAAAATCCGACTTCTTCAGACAAGCAGTTTACAATAATACAATGTTTTAAGTATTTTGTTGCGTGAGTGTCATCGTCATTGATGAATTAATGTCCTGTCCTAAGCTGGTTTCCTGAAACACACACGGAATGTTTTATGTCAGGCTGTTAGAGACGCAACCCATAATCAGCGCGGTTGTTCTGAAAAAAATTTGAGTTGCCATCGACTAGTTTCAAAGGCTTAGTGCGTGAATGGCTGTTATTCATAATATTCAGGAAAGTACCAAAATTGATTACTCTTATTAGACACAAAGTCACCGCTTGCTTATCTGATGTTGTTGTTGGGGATGGTTGATGTTGTTATTGTTGTGAAGAAATACTTTACTTCAATACAGATGACCCAATCGATTTCAAATTCCAGTACTCGAAGATGGACGCAGTCGATAGAAAGCTAATTTTTTTTAAAGCCACACCTAATTTGCATAATATTTTACCAAAAATTTTGCTGTTTTATCTTAATAAATGGAAAAACTTTTGACATTCGACGTTAATGTCCACATATTCTAGCATTGTACTCTTGTTTACTTGTATAATTAATCTTATATATGTTGTAAATCTCTTGAATCACATTTTACAAACTAATTTTTGATGTTGGTTTATCAAATTCTGAATTTCAAGCGAGTACATTTCAAATTTCTATTACGACTTCCGGGTTCTGATGCGTCAGTACCTGTTACGTGTCAAAGGTCATTCAAAGCAACCGAGCGTGTCAGCGACATTAGCCCTTTAAAACACTCCAATTTGAAAATAAAGAACGCGATTGGTCGCGATAATAAATATTTTAAATTCACGCATTCTCTTGTTTGTTTTAGACGAGTCTGGTCGAGATGGACAAAAGTCAGTTAACTCGTTCACGCTTCGAGGGTACTTGACAATTTTCCATTAACAGAAGCGCCGTAGCAGCCACACTTAATCAAACGCCAAAGGGGGTACAATACATCTACCAAGCGCGATGAAACCATGCCCCAATTTCGGCCAACTCAAGCACACAATTGATTTTTAACAGGATCTGCGACAAGCGTTTTTGTCCTGGCTTAACAATGGAGTATTATTATTCGCGGTGACATATTTCCGATTTGTCTATTGTTCCGAGTAGTTGTTCTTTTTGTATACCTACGCAATCCAGCCCCAAGCAAAACCCTATTTTGTGTCAGGACGGAGCAAATCGCTAAAGAACACAATAGTAATCCGATATCATCATATTCCGAAGATCCGGATTTAGATTTTAACCATTGCGCGTAAGCTACACCGAATTAGCTTCTAAAGGCGCTTCCTGTGCAAAGCCACGTTTGGAGCGAAAATAGATATTAAACGTATAAAATACATTGCATTTCTTTCGATTCGGGTTAGCAAAAACATCATTCTAAATATTTGATCGTTTCGACTTATAATTGAGTAACAGTAAGGTCGCATAAATTCAAAATATGGCTCGCTGGGGGTTGGTTGTTCACCATTCAAAATTGGCACTTATCCGCGGGCTGCACAATTTTTACATGCGGGCCGCATTTAGCCCGCGGGCCGCGGGTTGCGCATTCCTGCCGTAAGAGATAAATGTGACTTCAAAACAAGTAAATTTCCGAGGTTCTATATAGCATTTATTTCAGTTGAACTCAAGTCACAGATGGAACACGTTTTGAGATAATTAGAGAAGTGCTCTCATAATGAAAATTACGATCACAAAAATATTATAACTATATAATAATTGTTTCATGACTTGAAAGCAATCTGTCAGGGCACTAAGTGAGTAAGGTTTTCTGTCTCACAATTCACAATCGTAAAACTATAAAATTATCTGTCAAAAGATTGAAAAGGGTTAAAAAGTTTTTTTTTTATACAAACAATGCTCGTATTTTGTCCCGCCTTAAGGAACTATAACAAAAGTGACGCTTGTAGAATCTCGGATCAGAACAAAAGACGGCGTGGCATACGATACCGTCATCCTATTCGAGTTGTATTATCGCATTCCTCGTGACATATTATATCTAGTTGTCCTTCTTCGGTTCGCCCGGACACCTACAGAGTATACGATTTAATAACAAAGAGTGGAATTTTATTTCCCTGGCCGTACTGACTTGAAATGTGTTAGCATTTGTCAAACTGTATTTGGCGGCGTGGGGTTAAGCATTTGGCAGCGTGTGGTTGAAAATTTGATGGCATCACTTC